TGGCGTAGCGTGGGGGGTGCAGGGGGGGCCGGCCGCACCGGGCGCAACATCTGGCCTCGGGCGCAGGCTGTAGCAGAGCCCCATGTCTCGCGGAACCGACGAGCTGGCAGCGGCTCTCAGCGTTCGCCGCGGTCCCCACGCATCACGGCCGTGGAGGGCGCACCAGGCAGCCCCTCCTCACAGCCCCGCCGCCGCTGCTGCTGCTGCAGCTGCTGGGCCATGTTGCATTTTCCTCGCCTCTCTGCCCTCCTCCTCCTCCGGGCAAGCGGCGTCGTTTGGGCGGCAGCGCCAGCTCGCCTCAGATCACCTGACATGGACCCGCCGTCGCCGCCGTGGCTACCTTACGGTAAATACCCCAGCCCAGGCAGCAGCAAGAAGAAGCTGGCAGCGGCGGCAGGTTAGGGGTTAGGGGGCGCAAACTACTTGCCTTGCCCCGGGTTAGGGGGCGCAAATTACTTGCCTTGCCCCGGGTGCTGACAACCCACGCTATGCCGCTGTTCCCCCCTCCCACTCTATTGAATTATAGAATTGTATAGAGTTGGGAGGGACCCTGAGGAACATCTAGTCTGATGCCCTGCAATGCAGGAATCTCAACTAAAGCAACCATGACAGATGGCCATCCAACTTCTGCTTAAAAACCTTCAGGGGAGTCCACCACCTCTGGTGGGAGACTGTCAAACAGCTCTTAGTGTCAGAAAGCTCTTCCTCGTGTTTAATGTTGGAATCTCCTTTCTTGTAACTTGAAGCCATTGGTTCAGGTCCTAGCCTCCAGAGCAGAAGAAAATGATCTGGCTCCATCCATTTAGATATTTGAAGGTGGCTATCACACCACCTGGGACGCGGGTGGCGCTGTGGGTTAAAGCCTCACGCCTAGGACTTGCCAATCGAAAGGTCGGCGGTTCGAATCCCCGCAGCGGGGTGCGCTCCCGTCGTTCAGTCCCAGCGCCTGCCAACCTAGCAGTTCGAAAGCACCCTCGGGTGCAAGTAGATAAATAGGGACCGCTTACCAGCGGGAAGGTAAACGGCGTTTCCGTGTGCTGCGCTGGCTCGCCAGATGCAGCTTGTCACGCTGGCCATGTGACCCGGAAGTGTCTGCGGACAGCGCTGGCTCCCGGCCTATAGAGTGAGATGAGCGCACAACCCTAGAGTCTGGCAAGACTGGCCTGTACGGGCAGGGGTACCTTTACCTATCACACCACCTAGGGACGCGGGTGGCGCTGTGGGTAAAACCTCAGTGCCTAGGACTTGCCAATCGTGTGGTCGGCGGTTCGAATCCCCGCGGCGGGGTGAGCTCCCGTCGTTCGGTCCCAGCTCCTGCCCACCTAGCAGTTCGAAAGCAACCCTAAGTGCAAGTAGATAAATAGGTACCACTTTATAGCGGGAAGGTAAACGGCGTTTCCGTGTGCTGCGCTGGTGCTGGCTTGCCAGAGCAGCTTCGTCACGCTGGCCACGTGACCCGGAAGTGTCTTCGGACAGCGCTGGCTCCCGGCCTCTTAAGTGAGATGAGAGTCGGACATGACTGGCCCGTACGGGCAGGGGTACCTTTACCTTTATCACACCACCTCTCAGTTGTCTCTTTTCCAGGCTAAGCATACCCAACTCCCTCAACCATTCCTCATAAGGCTTGGCTTCCAGACTTTTGATCATCTTGGTTACCTTCCTCTGCACACCTTCCAACTTGCCAATATCCTTTGTAAATTGTGGTGCTCAGAAGTGGACAAAGTACTCCAGGTGTGGCCTGACCAAGGTAGAATAGAGCAGGACTATGACTTCCCTTGATCTGGACACTATGCAGCCTAGAATGGCATTTTTTGTTGCAGTATCACACAGTTGACTCGTTAAGTTTGTGGTCTACTAAGACCCCGAGATTCTTTTCACATGCAAGCCAGGTGTCCCCCATGATATATTTGTGCAGCCTCTTCCTGCTTAAATGTGGAACCTTACATTTGTCCCTATTGAAATTCATTTTGTTAGGAAGCTGCCTTACGATGAGTCAGACCATTGGTCCACCTAGTTCACAACTGTCTACACCGACTGGCAATGGCTCTCCAGGGTTTCAGACTCATCTCCACCTGGAGAGGCCATTGGAAATTGAAGCTGGCACCGTCTGCATGCAAAGCAGGTTCTCTGCCCCTTAATTAGGGCACTTTCCTGCAGCATTGTGCTTGGTTGCCGGTGGCAAGAACATCTCCACTAGGAGACTTCTGGAAGGAAAGAATTAGGAAAGTTGGCACTTCTGCTCCTTTATGCCATGGGTGACTAACATGTTCATTTTATTAATGATTTAAATGCACTTATATCCCATCCATATGTGAAAGCAGGCTAATAAAAACCATAGTAGGCTAGCAATTTTTTGTGGACTTGTTTGCAAGATGATGAAATTTCAAACCAGAAGGAATTTAAGCTCACACTGCCATTTAATACACATGCACAAACTCAAGTCAGAGAATACTAGCCTAAGGCTATGATTCTAATATAATATGCAGAAGGCACATCCACTCAAGAAGACCCAGTTAATTTAATGGGCCTAAGTTAGCCATATCCATTAATTTCACCTGGTCTACTCTTGAGTAGGACTAGCTTTGGCTACAACTCACCAAAACTAACTCCTCTTCACTGCCCTTGGACTGGGTTCTGGGTCAAAGGATGCAAATGGTAGGTAAAAAAATTCTGGGGTCCAGATGCTTAGTATTTAAATAATAAAAATAACAAGCGCAGGCAAACTCCAAACAATATCATCCAAAACAAAAGAGAGATCCTCAGTTGTAATGCATTCTATCTGGCATTCCCAAGGTCAAATTCAAGGCAGTCACCACCAGCTAAATTAACCAAGGCCACGTAAATATGCCTTGAAACTTGCACCCAAGGGTACAACAAGCTGGTCCTAGCTGTGTCATGATCCCAACAAACAAGAGCCACTCTTCCACTTCAAGGCTCATGTTGCTCTAGATTCACTTTCACTATGGGGTTGCCCTTTCCCTTCCTTCCTTCCTTCCTACTGTGTTATCCCATTCTTAACAATTTCAAGCAAAAAAAGGGGGTGGGGTGGGGTCGTTTTAGGAGAAAACAAATCAAGAAAGCTTGTAAAATCAAAAGCATTATTTTTTGTCTTTTTTAAAGCACACAAGAGCAAGTCTGTGTCCGGCCCTGCCCTCTGTCCCCCCCCTGCCCCCACCCCTATTCTTGAGCTCTGCCTGATTGAGGAGGCAAGATCAAGCAAGAGGAAACCTGTGGGCAAGAACAGGAAGCAGAGATTAAACAACCCATTGTAGGTCAAAGGTTACTCGCAGATCAGTTACCACTAGAGGCATGAGAGGCTGACGCTCAGTTGACACCCCAACACAGGACATCAAACAGCTCGGGCTTCAATGCCCCATCTCCTCTAACACAAAAGTTTAGGCCTCCCACAATAAAAATGTGATGCTTGAGTGGCGTCAGCACCCCGAGTTCTTTTTTTCACAGAGCCTGTAACTCTTCCCTGCCCCGCTTTTACCCTTCTTTTAAAGGGGAGGGCACAAGTTATGGGCCTTGACAAGTTCAAAGTCCAACGAGGGTGACTGAGCGAACCTCCTTTTTCCCACTTGACTTTGCAAAAAAATAATACACACACCCACACCCCGTATCATTGCAGAGAGTGAATAATTTAAAAGGACTTTGTTAGATACGTAAAACAAAAAAAAAATTTGCTCACAACCTATTTCTTTATATATTTTTAGAAAAGCCAATGTGTGTTAGGGTCTGTGTCCATTTGTTTTGTTTTGTTTTTTTAAATTAAGAAAAGGATATAACTTTCTTCCCAGAGCCTTTGTCCAATGAGAAAGTTATTAAAATGCAGAAGTTTACTTTTCCTTTATAATCGTTTGCCCATAGCGGGGGACAAAAAGCAAGAAAAACTCTGCAGGAAGCCTGCCTGCCTGGTGTATGTGATGTTACAATTAATCCTTCACGATGACAGGTCCTCGTGTCACAACACAGTAGCTCAACAGTCGTATTTCGCACCATGGAGGAAAACCTCAGAGTCCAAGTTACTCAATTAAATTAAAACCATGACTCACAATCACAGTGACTCTCTCCCTGCCTGCCTCTGTTCAGAGAAATGAAGACGGCGACATTTTTGTGGCAAAGAGGTTCCACCATGAGAAACCATTCTTTAAGCATTTGCTGAACAATCACCTTGATGTTGCTTTAAAAATACGCAAGTGTCCCATGGAACAAGCACCCAGGGACAAATACTACCTCTGCCAGCTGTTTTTCATTGCTCTTTTCCTAACCAAAAGGCAAAAAGGGAGCCTGTCCCCTCTACAAGCGGCAAACAGAAACTACCAGCAGCTCTGAAAACAGAAGCTTCTAGAGATAGGAACCACTAGACCTCAACCGATCCTAATCTCCCCTGCTTTCTAAAAGGAAAGGCATTTATTTCTTATTTTCTCTAATGCAGGCACCTGCAAGATTTTCAGCAAAAAATAAATAAATCTGTCAGCTGGATGGTTTTGTAGTGGCAGGAACGATCCTATCGGCTGCAAAACAAAAACTGTCATCTGCTAACGGCCGAAGCGTTAAGTGACACACACACAACAACCTCCTGACACAGCCAGGGCAGACACCCCGACCCACCCTACAGAGACTTCTGTTCCTCAAAATGCAATTAGAATCGGCTTCAATATGGCCTTCAAGTTTAGCAACCCAACGACTATCCTTGCAACTACCATCATCACATCATCCATTTAAAATTAGGTCTGAGCTGCGTCCCTAAACTGCCAGCACCATCTGATCAAACACGCGTTTGTAAAGTAAACTGGTTTACTTTCTCAAGTCTGTTGCTTGGGGGGGGGGGGGACACACACCCGCACACAACAGCTCTGAAAACTGTCCCAGAAGCAGCTGAGTTAAAAGCCCAGCACAGGGTTAAAAGGCAACAGCTTTGTACGATCAAATGGAGGAATGCAGAGTGCCATAAAACGCACACACAAACAAGTTACATAAAGTCCATGGATACTTACTGTTTCCTTATTGGGAAGCAGCTCTTTTCGGATCCTGAAGAAGTTCTTCCCATACTGTCTGAGCCCTTTAATGAAGCGTTTCTGTGTTTAAAACAAAAATAGAATGTCAGCAGAGGCAAAGAGAAAATCTCTTTAACCAGCACGGTAGTTTAAAAAGTTACCGGATTAGGGGTTGCACAAATATGCAGGTTAAGTCCCACAGAAATTGCAAATTTTCAGATTTCAGTCTCAAGTCTCATCCAGGATTCAATTATTATTATTATTTAAAGAAACACACGAGAAAAAACAACCTTTTAGCTCAAAATGACATAGGCTGTGTGCTTTGTTTGGAGGGCTTTGAGAAGGCAAGCTGCTGATTTCCGTGAAAATAAATGTTGAAAACCTGAAGCAAGATCTAATTCCATCTTAAGATGGGGGTGGAGGAACGAGAGAATAGTGCTTTTCCTTCTCTACAATTCTGGACAGAGAAGGGGGTTGCTGTCTGAGCTGTGAAAAGATGAAAAACTCATTCCGAGCTCAAAGCATCCAGGTTTCTTTCGAAAGTTTATATATATTTATACAGAGAGACATATATGGAGAAGATTTCCAAATAAATCTCTTCCAGGAAAAGAAATAAGACTGCTTTACTATTCCCCACCTTTTTGGGAGGAGAATCAGTCCATATTTAGTTCCAAAATCCAGGGCTGCCAAAGACTTCCGTTTGGGCTTCTCAAATATTCCAGTTTGGCAATGATTAAAAACAAAACAAAAACAAACCGCAACACACAAAACACAGCCCACCCCACCTTCCCAGAAAACTCAACACTTCTGTGTTTGCAGATTTCTCGGTTCCAACACTCCTCCCCTAAATACACAGAGGGGGGGGGGAGAAAAGAAGAGTTTCAAAGTGATGTTTAAATCCGGATCGAAAAGAGAGCCGGAGGAAGGAGCAAAGGGTTTTTCAAAGCTCTCTCTCTTTCCCCACCACAAAACACAAGCACGCGGGCACACCGATTGCACAAAAATGACTGACGTACAAACTGACACACACACACACAAACAAACACACACCCTGCGGAGGGGTGATTTCCCTTCTGGGAGGGGGAAGAGGAGGAGGAAGAAGAACAACTCCGAAGCAACAAACCAGCCGCCGCCAAAGCAGAGAGCAGCGTTTCTCCTTTGCCTGTTTCAGCCGCTGCTGAGAGTGGAGGGGAAGAGTCAAAATCCGGATCTCCAAGTAGGGGCGTCCTGCATGGAGGTGGCAGCGGAGGAGGCAGCAGCCGGAGGAGCCGGGGATCGCTTGTTACCCGGGGAGGCTCTGACACTACAAAAGGGGAGGGAAGAGGCAGCGGCGGCAGCAGCAGATTAACATGTGATCTGAGCTGGGCTGAGCGGCAGAAGGGAGAGAGAGAGAAACAAGAGGCACCGGGCGAGCTGCAAAAGGCGGCCTGGATCACCTAGGCAGACTCCCCGCAGCAAAGGCTGTAGGAGGACCGTTAGCAAGACGGGCAGCCGATGCAAGGGCCCCGCAGAGGTTCCTGGGGTGCAACTCTCATTATTCCCTGCTAATACCACCAGGCAGTAAAGGTAAAGGGACCCCTGACCATTAGGTCCAGTCGTGACCGACTCTGGGGTTGCGGCGCTCATCTCGCTTTACTGGCCGAGGGAGCCGGCGTACAGCTTCCGGGTCATGTGGCCAGCATGACTAAGCCGCTTCTGGCGAACCAGAGCAGCGCACAGAAACACTGTTTACCTTCCCGCCAGAGCAATACCTATTTATCTACTTGCACTTTGACGTGCTTTCGAACTGCTAGGTTGGCAGGAGCAGGGACCGAGCACATGGAGCTCATCCCGTCGTGGGGATTCGAACCGCCGACCTTCTGATCGGCAAGTCCTAGGCTCTGTGGTTTAACCCACAGCGCCACCCGCGTCCCAGAACCACCAGGCAAATGAGTGCCAAATCTAAGTGCAATATAAATGCTGCTGCTTGTTAGGATGATCATGGCAAAGTGGCTCACATGCATTAATACTGTAATGCAGGGGCGGCCAACTGAAGTCCTCAAGATGCTGTTGGACTCCAACTCCCTAGCAGCCAGCATGGCCAATAATCAGGATGGTGGGAGTTGTTGTCCAGCAAACAACATGCTGGATATCCATCCTGTGCTGATTCCAACACCCAAGCATTACAGAAGGGTGGGCTTAGACCAGGTGTGGGGAACCTCTGGCCTTCCAGATGTTGTTGGACTGCAACTCCCATCAGCCCCAGCAAGCATAAGCAATGGCCGGGGATGGTGGGAACTGTAGTTTAGCAAGATCTGCATGGCCAAAGGTTCTCTACAGAGGAAAGGAAGGAGACTTGGCCCAAATCCCATACTTGTTTAAAATACATGTATCCTGCCTTTCTATCTGCAAGGCGGTTTAACAACACAAACACGAAGCACGAAAAAATAATACCACCACAAACCCAATCACAAGTCAGTCTTAGTGAGTTTATGGCCGGGGTGGGGTGGGGGGATCAAACCCAGGATGCTGTAAACAAAGATTTATACAAATCCAACAGCAGCATACAGAGAGGAAGAATTTTTTTATTCTGAGTTGACTACAAGATAACAATCTCCCTGACACCTCAAAAAAACAGCCAAGTGCTTAATTAAAATAGTAAAATATATTTAATAAATTTGTCCAAGTATGTTCAGAAATCAAATAGGTTACTTGTGCTTTCTGCCCAGGGGAAGGGTTCTAGGTCATTTGAAATATCAGCACTGCAATGATTTACATTTGATCCAGTCTCTATATTTTAGGAAGGTTTTGGCTGGATTCTGGCCACTGCAACTTTCTACCCCTCTGTCATGGTCCTATTGCCCCGTCTTCTGGTCTAGCAGTAAATTATACAACCTATATTGTGGGAAGCAGTTAGTAAGACATGCTCCGAGTTAGGAAGACACCTATCCATGAAAGCTTAGACTCCAATTAACACACTGAGCATACCCATGGCACACATATCTGAGCAGGTCTTCCACAGGGAAACTCTGGGGTTTTTGTTCTGCAATAGGGGCTTGGGGTCTTTAAAGGATAATTGCCAACATTTTCATTATACAAATTCCCAGCACTCTTTGGGGGAAGCCAGCAGAGGTTGCCAACCTTTCTGGGCCCATGGGTACATTTACAAACAGGAGAAATTCTCATGGGCCCTGCACACACCACAACCCAACACACATGTCTACTGTCTACAAAGATGTATCTTTAAGGCTTACTTTCACTGGGAGACGGGGTTAGGGTTCCAGGCACAAGGGAACCCTGTGGGTGCCCATGCTAGCAACTCATGTAGTATTGACACACCCAGGTGTTTTCTTCTGCTTATTGTTTCTTTGTTCTAAAAGAGCAACAGACTGCTAGGTAGCCAGCCACCTAACAGCCATTTTCATTTTTTGAATGTAGCTCTTAGCACCCAAGAGTGTGAATGAAAAGGCTCATCAGCTGTCTTTATTACGGACTTGTCTGCATATAATCCACTAAAAGCTATCAACACATTTGTGCTCTAATTTTTATGGGTCCTGAGCAGATACTGAAACTCGGATCGAAACATATTGAGATGCTCGCTAAATATAACCTAATCCCCAGATACAAAAAGTCTCCCCAAATAAAATCTATTTTTAATCCATCTAGAGATCTCACTCAGAAAGTCCTTCTAAATTTTATGCAGGGGGTGGAGGGGGCCATGTAGCCATAAACACAAAGAAAGATCAATTCGGATTTTGCTACAGAATACAAGTAGATTGTGTTGGCTGAGAAAGATTCTCGTTTTAATGGGAGTGGGTGGGGAGTTGGTAAAAAAGAAAGAAAGACCCTAAGTCTAAGTAAGTGGGGCTGCCAGAACAAACCACTGGGTTGCATCCAACTTATGTCCTATTAGAGCAGACCTGCTTAAATTAATGGGCCTAAGTTAGTCATGTCCATTAATTTTGATAGGTAGGATTAATACTGGGTACAAGCCATGGATCTCTAAGCACCATGGAATTTGCACCATTGGGATGGTGGTAGGTGGTAGCTTCTGTTCTTTCGTGGGCTTGTGCGACTCAGTTGGCTGGTCCACCTGGCTCCAGCTAGAAATGTTCTGAAATCAGATATGTCTAGCAACTCTACCTGCTGCTGTGACAGAAGGCCAGAGGTTTATTTTTAAACAGAGGAGCAAAAGCAACCCAAAGAAACGTCCCTCTCGCAGAGACATAAAACACCAGGCCTCTTCCTTAAATAACCATCAGCTTCCACCTTCCTGTCCTACTGGTGAAGCTCTATTACCCTTGGCTACTGCTTCCTGTAGCTTGGGGACCATTTTGCGGCTTGCTCTACTCCGACCCCAGCTTAATCCAGCAATTTCCGAGGTTCCCAAACCTCAGTAATCTCTCCGCCAAGGAACGAGATCCTTCCTCTCCTGTGCATTACTCCTGTGGTTTGCATCCTCATTTGTTAAATGCATTATGACAGGTTATTTACTTTGGCCCACAGAGTGGGGAATTGCGGTTGCTTCCCCTCCCCGCAAAAGAATTTAACAATTGTACCAGTATTGGGGGGGGGGGGAGTTTCACAGTTCAAATACATCTTCATCTTTTTAAAGAAATGGGCCTTCATTTATTAGACCCTATAAGCAAGGGGGATCCAATGAGCTCCCCCCTCCCCAAGTTTTGGACTACAATCTCCATCAACAGCCCTATTAGACATGCTGGCTGGGGCTGATGAGAGTTGTAGTCCACAACATCTTGGGGGGTGGGGGACACGGACCAGACCACATTGGCTATCCCTGCTATAAGCTGCTTCACGCCTTCCAAAAAAAACTCCTCCCCAACTTGCTGAGTGTTTCAGTGGATTCTGGGGCTCATTTAGGAAGGGGGAAGACCCTTAATAGCCTTGCATCCAGAGACCCAAGCCCAGAGCCTTTTCAGGTGCACACAGACAGTTGTGTACTTATTAGGAACCTGGATATATTTTTTGCGGATTAGCCACCACCATCATAATTATTATCAATACATATTTCAACTCTGCTCCTCTTTTCAAGTCAATACTCAGAGCATCTTACAAAAGATAATAGGGTCCCCCCCCCAGCT